TTTATGTTGGAGAGTGTTTTGCCTATGTTGTCCTCTAGGAGTTTTATAGTTTCTGGTCTTACATTTAGATCTTTAATCCATTTTGAGTTTATTTTTGTGTATGGTGTTAGAAAGTGTTCTAGTTTCATTCTTTTACAGGTGGTTGACCAGTTTTCCCAGCACCACTTGTTAAAGAGGTAGTCTTTTTTCCATTGTATATCCTTGCCTCCTTTGTCGAAGATAAGGTGACCATAGGTTCGTGGATTTATCTCTGGGCTTTCTATTCTGTTCCATTGATCTATATTTCTGTCTTTGTGCCAGTACCATACTGTCTTGATGACTGTGGCTTTGTAGTATAGTCTGAAGTCAGGCAGATTGATTCCTCCAGTTCCATTCTTCTTTCTCAGGATTACTTTGGCTATTCAAGGTTTTTTGTATTTCCATACAAACTGTGAAATTATTTGTTCTAGTTCTGTGAAAAATACCGTTGGTAGTTTAATAGGGATTGCACTGAATCTATAGATTGCTTTGGGTAGTATAGCCATTTTGACAATATTGATTCTTCCAATCCATGAACACGGTATATTTCTCCATCTGTTTGTGTCCTCTTTGATTTCTTTCATCAGTGTTTTATAGTTTTCTATGTATAGGTCTTTTGTTTCTTTAGGTAGATATACTCCTAAGTATTTTATTCTTTTTGTTGCAGTGGTGAATGGTATTGTTTCCTTAATTTCTCTTTCTGTTTTCTCATTGTTAGTGTATAGGAATGCAAGAGATTTCTGTGTGTTAATTTTATATCCTGCAACTTTACTGTATTCGTTGATTAGCTCTAGTAATTTTCTGGTAGAGTCTTTAGGGTTTTCTATGTAGAGGATCATGTCATCTGCAAACAGAGAGAGTTTCACTTCTTCTTTTCCTATCTGGATTCCTTTTACTTCTTTTGGTTTTTCATATTTTCAGGATCCTTGCTACCTTTTTGTCTTGTTGACCAAATCTACTTCAGTGAAAATGTCCCTCTGTGACTGTAGATGTATCATTTTCTCCGTATAATTCTGCCAGCTTTTGCTTTTTATATTTTCCGCTGTGTTGTTAGGTAGAGCACATTCAGAATTGTTCCATCTTCCTGATGAATTATTCATTTCATCATAATGCAGTTGTTCCCTTTATTCATTTTTGCCCTAAATATATATTTGTATGCTTGGCCTTAATCATATATTAGATCTGATAGTGATAGAGTCATTTAAGCTCCTTTTTAGTTAGTGTTTGCATAGCCTGTGTGCTCAGAATTGAGAATTCTCAGGGGAGACACTTTTCTCCCAGTTCCAGGGCAGATAATTCCACCCCCAGGGTTTCCCCAGCACGTGTCTTAGCTCTCTCTCTCCCGTAAGGCATTATATTTTCAGGTTCAGGCATTTGCTAAAACACTGGCTGCTCAGGTGTCATAATTTATATAGGGCTCGTGGCTCAGACGGTAAAGAATCTGCCTGCAGTGCAGGAGGCCAAGGTTTGACTCCTGGGTCGGGAAGATCCCCTGGAGAAGGGAACGGTGACCCATTTCATTTTTCTTGCCTGGAGCATCCCATAGACAGAGGAGCCTGGAGGGCTATGGTCCATGGGGCTGGAAAGAGTTGGGCACGACTGAGCAACTAAGCAGCTCAATTCCAAAGCCTCGTCACATACAGACCTAAGGTTCCGTCTCCTTCCTCCATGAGGGCATCAAACCCAAGCCCCACCGCAGACAGCTACACCACAGGCTCGTGTGCCTGCTGTATTTTCGGGTTTCAGTCTCAGCATCTGGTGATGCCCCTTGTACCTTCATACTCGCATTTTAAAGAACGTTAGTTATAAACATAGTTATAAAACTACATTGAAGAATGTATTTTTTTCTTCAGTATTTCTGGGTGTTTGGGATGTGCAGGGGTGGGGGGATGGCCAGGTTATCTGGTCTGGTGTGTTGCTAACAGAGCAGGGCAGTTCCCACCAGGAGTGCTCATCTAGCCTGAGAACAGCATCTTGTTGTTGGACAGTTGTAGAAGCCTGGATGTGTCCTTTCTGACCTTGACATCGTAAGAATTCAGCAAGTCTGATGTTTTGGACCCTGGAAGCCCTGCTAGGGTGATGCACCTACAAAGACCCACAGTGTGTATTTCTTGGTTCAGAGTCATTTTGAACTTAGGGTACCAGAAGGACTGGTCTTAAGAACATCAAGATTGTTTTAAATATTTCAGCTTATAAATTTGAGAACGTTTATTAACACAGTATTAATAAATAGCATTAAAATCTCATTGTTGCTTACATAAGACTTTTGTAAAACAGAACTCTATCAGTTATAAAACTGATCAGTTTTCCAACTGAAGTTCTTTAAAAATGTTTCTAAGCATGTTTCAAAATTATGCCTAAGCAAAGTACAGTGGTAATCTAGCTATTACAGGTAGGCTGCACTAATAGTACATTCAAAATACAGAATTTAAGGAGGGAAATGTATGTATATTGTAACTAGTATAGCTTCTCCATAAACTAGTTGCATTATTTACATATGTGCTCTAGTTTAGGTTTTTAAATTATAAGAATAATATTCATTTCCTTTTTGTAGTATTGCCATGTTTTTTTTTTTTTAATTTTCTAAATGTACAAAATCCTTCAAATAATTGGAACCTAAGAAAAGTTTCCTTTCGGGTTTTTATTTTTGAACATTTCCTTCTTTGAACTTTTTTTTAGAGCCTTGAATTAGTCTTCCCCTTACAAGCATTCCTGCAGTTGCACCAAGAGTAAACTCAATCCCCAGAACGTTGCTTAAATGATGAGACTTTTGTTAAATGATTAGAATTCATCAGAAGCAGAATGTCATGACCTTGCCACTGGAGTTTAGTCCTCTGTGCCCAGAATGACAAGTTCTGAAATAAAGATTCTGTTTATTGATTATTCTTGTGTGCTGAAGGAACGATTAAGTATTTGTTGTTGTTCAGTTGCTAAGTTGTGTCCAACTCTTTGTGACCCCATGGACTGCAGCACGCCAGGCTCCTTTGTCCTCCACCATTTCACAGAGTTGCTCAGATTCATGTGCACTGAGTCAGTGATGCTAACTAACCATCTCATCCTCTGTCACCCCCTTCTCCTTCTGCCTTTTAATCTTTCCCAGCATCAGGGTCTTTTCCAGTAAATCGGCTCTAAGCATCAGGTGGCCAAAGTACTGGAGCTTCAGCTTCAGCATCAGTCCTTCCATTGAATGTTCAGGACTGATTTCCTTTAGGACTAACTGGTTTGATCTCCTTGCTGTCCACGGGACTCTCAAGAGTCTTCTCCAACACCACAGTTCAAAAGCATCAATTCTTTGGCATTCAGCCTTCTTTTTGGTCCTCCTCTCATATCCATACATTACTTTTAATACACTGTCTAGGTTGGTCATAACTTTCCTTTCCAAGAGCAAGTGTCTTTTAATTTCATGGCTGCAGTCACCATCTGCAGTGATTTTGGAGCCCAAGAAAATAAAGTCTCTCACTGTTTCCATTGTTTCCCGATCTACTTGCCATGAAGTGATGGGACCGGATGCCATGAGTTAGTTTTTTGAATGTTGAGTTTTAAGCCAAATTTTTCACCTTCTCTTTCATCCTCAACAAGAGGCTCTTCAGTTCCTCTCCCATTAAAGTAGTATCATCTGCATATCTGAGGTTATTGACATTTCTCCCAGCAATCTTGATTCCAGCTTGTGAATCATCCAGCCTGGCATTTTGCATGACATACACTGCATATAAGTTAAATAAGCAGGGCGAGAATATACAGCCTTGGCATACTTCGTTCCCAATTTTGAACCAGTCAGTTGTCCTATATCTGATTCTAATTGTTGCTTCTTGACCCGCATACATGTTTCTCAGAAGACAGGTAAGATGGTCTGGTATTCCCATCTCTTTAAAAATTTTCCACAGTTTGTTGTGATCCACACAGTCAGAATCTCTAGAGTATTCAATGAAGCAGAAATAGAGGTTTTTCTGGAATTCCCTTGCTTTCTCCATGCTCCAGCCACTGGCCCTTGGATTATTTTGTCTAATAAAAGGTGTGTCTATGAGTCAGGATGGTCATCATCAAGTAGTCTCCAAGCAATAGATGCTGGAGAGGATGTGGAGGAAAGGAGCCCTCCTACACTGTTGGTGGAAATGCAGTTTGATACAACTGCTATGGAGAATACGATGGAGGTTCATAAAAAGGGATCCCACTCCTGAATATATATATCTGGAGAAAACCATAATACAAAAGCATTCATGCACCCCAGTGTTCATAGCAGCACTGTTTACAAGAGCCCGGACATGGAGGCAACCTCCATGTCTGGTGTGTGTGTATGTGTGTGTGCGTGCTCAGTTCTGTCCAACTGTTTGCAACCCACCAGGGTCCTCTGTCCATGGAATTTTCCAGGTAAGAATAATGGAACAGGTTGCCATTTCCTTTGCCAAAATGCCCAGAGGAATAGATAAAGAAGATGTGGATAAAGAAGATATACATATACATATATACAATGAAATATTTTTCAGCCATATAAAAGAATGAAATAATGCCATGTGCAGCTATTTAGATGGACATAGAGATTATCATATTAAGTGAAGTAAGTCAGACAAAGACATATCATGATATCACTTATATGTAGAATCTAGAACAAAGTTGTAACAAATGAACTTATTTACAAAACAGAAATAGACTCACAGACATAGAAAACAAACTTACGGCTACCAAAGGCGATTGGGGGTGAGGGGGAAGGATAAATTAGGCGATTGAAATTAACATACACACGCTACTATATATAAAGTAGATCACCAGCAAGGATCTCCTGTATAGCACAGGGAACTCAATGTATAACCTATGTGAGTAAAGAATCTGAAGGAGAATGAATGTATGTACATGTGTTACTGAATCACTCGGCTATGCACCTGACACTAACACACCATTATGAATCAACCATACTCCCAACGAAACTCTTGAAAGATCAGCATAAACGGCCTGGCCGTTTACGTCAGCTCTGCATTTTCTTCCAGGTGACCTTCCGCACCAGAATCTATCACTGTAACATTAACAGCCAAGGCGTGATCTGCCTGGACATCCTGAAAGACAACTGGAGCCCGGCCCTCACCATCTCTAAAGTCCTCCTGTCCATCTGCTCCCTGCTGACAGACTGCAACCCCGGTAAGACTCCCATCCGCGGAGGCTGGAGCTGCACCCCGCTGCAGGGCGCGCTCTCGCTTCACTGTTCACCACCAGGACCGCCACTGGCGCGGTTACTTTCATTATTATTGATTTTAAATTTCCGTCATTTGTAACTCCTCCCTTTTTCAGTTCAGTCCGGTCATCAGTCTTTTTAAAACCTATTATTTGCCAAAAAGGAGAAAGCGCAGTGTGTAATCAGAGTGAATGAAAAATCATTTTAGATGGGGAAGTGCCTTTAAAGAATGCCTTACCTTCTGCTGCCACATCATAATAGGAATTCAAGTTGAACAGCCTAATCTTTAATTAGATGCCCCCCAGAAGACGCCTGTTTGAGAGATGAGGACTGTTAAAATCTGACCACCCCTCAGGCAGCACCACAGAGAGGTCGCCATTTGGCATTTTCACAACCGCGCGTCCGTACAAGCCGCTAGAGCCGAAGCCCCTGCGCTAGGAGACACCGAGAAAGGCAACGGGGAACCGCAGCTTCCCAGGGACCCTGAGCGGAGCCGTGCCCAAGCCCCCGGGCCTTCTGCGTGCTGGCTGCCGGAGCTCCTGCTTCCGGGGCTTCCCGGATGTGCGTCCACGGCTTTGACCGCCGCTTCCGGCTGGGCCAAGCCCGCTGCCGACAGGTTACGTGTTCGCGGGTTTGGGGGACAGCCCGCTGCCGACAGGTTACGTGTTCGCGGGTTTGGGGGAAATAACAGAAGTCCAAAGGGTTTTCATCGTTGTTCTTAGTCAGAAGTTCTTCTTTCAGTGTTTAACTAATAGTCTTAAGATTTTTTGAGATTCCATCTTCCATGTTCAGGACATGAACTCACTAGATAAGCGAAGTTTCAGACAAGAGAGAAATGGCAAGTGGGAACTAGGGTCTCTCTTAGGACCCGGGCTGGTTAATAAAACGTGTAGAAATGGTCATCTTTTCCATCTATGTTTGTTGTTTTTCAGTAGTAAAAACTTATTTTTAATGAAGACATTTAAAAACAGAATTTAGTTAAGTTGTGATATATGTAAACTATATATAACAAATCAATGCTTTTAACACCAAGAAACTAAAATATAATTGTGCAAGATCACTGTAAAATATTTTTGAGTTAATTTATACTGAATGCCAGATTGCGTAGTTCAACCGTGATGCACTAATTTAATGCAAGAACATATACTTTGTATTTTGAATGTCACTATTCCTGTTTCAATCCCATTTGTCTGTATGATAGTGTGTGACGTCATTGGGAGGTCATGTCATCAAAACACTTTGCATGTGTGTGGTTTTTCCTTTGGGAAATGTTGCACCACGGGATTACAGTCTGCCTCCCCACTCCCCAGAAGGTACTTCTGGGGTTTTCAGACACTTCGAGGGCTGTGTGTTTTAGAGAAAAAATTTATTTCGAGAGGTGAGTCACTTATTCAAGAAACTTTTGGTGCGAGGTTATTATGCTGTACATCTTAAACTCAGGTGTGTGTCAGTTATATCTCAGGGAAAAAAAGAAAGAAAGCAAAATAAATTTTTGAGACTACCATCTATGAGGCAGTTTTGACCACAAGATAAATTTCTTATACATGGAATAAGGTGTTAGGTCACACTTAGAACACTTGGTGCCAAGAGACAGCCTTACCGCAGTGGGAACCACATTAGCGGAAATGGACCCTGTCACCCTGACAGTTCTCCTGCGTTCCAGAACCACCTTCTCTCAGCAGTTGAAAGATTTCTGTTCCATAAATTAGTGTCCTTTTTCTGTGACACAGGAAATTACAGATACATTCCACAGAAAAATATATATATGTATCAAAATCATCCTTGGTGGAAACAAAATCACATAAACAAATAGATTTTGTAGATCATGCTATGAATATTAAGAAAAAGGCTAAAGCTAATAATGTTCCTTAAGTTTCACCAACTAAAGATGGCTTATCTGGTATCAGAATAGATTCCTATCTGTAAAATACATGGTAACAAACTAAATGTTCATCCTTTAACACACATAAAAAAAGATTTCTAATTGGTACCTCATTATAGGTATGTTTCTGTTCACACTTCTAGAGTCTTAAAAAGAAGTTACTCAAAACAAGCCAAAATGTCCATTGTTTTGTTCAGTGGGTTTATTTCACATTGTCTTCTGGTACCCTTCCCTCCATTCTCTGTCAATGTTTCTCTGTAGACTTATGTTGAACTTCAATCTGGCCTGTTTTCACGTGATCACAAATGTAAGTTTAATAGAATATGAATAAGGACTTTCCTGCACTGAGTCCATGCAGCTGTTTTCACACCAGAAATGCTGTCAGCTCAGAAGTAGGTTTTGCATAAAGATACAGGTTTAACCAACTTTGTGAGGGCTATCACTCTTGTCCCTACATAAACTGGGGGGGAGAGGGGAGGAGCTCATCTTTTTACATGCTTTTCTCTTAATTTCTTTATCTCTTCCAAGAATTTGGCCTATTCAAAGCAAATGTTTCAGGGTAAGGCTACACACCCTGTCTTGCTTGATAGTGAGTGTCAGCAAATATAGATTTCAAAACCAGCTGCACTGTTTATTACCAACGTGACCTTGTACCAGTCATTTAACTTTGCTCAGCCTCCCTATCTTGTATAAAACAGAGATTATCCTCAGCTGTACCTAAGTCACAGGATTCCTGTGAGTTTAAAATGAGATCTTGTATGTGAAAACCCATTGTAAACAGTAATGGGTTGCTCTTGATGTTATTTCCCAGAGTAGGACTCCAGATGTACATAGATTAGATGCGATCTGTTCCCACGAGGCTGCATTTAACCAAGAGAAGATAGAATTGAATACTGCCTCTCACACCACCTCCTCAGCAACTGACACATTGGGATTTTGCATTGGAAGAAAGCCTCCTTCCTGTGTCCATAAATTCCATGAATTCCATGGAATTCCTGTGTCCATAAACTGGAATGCTGTGTGATAGGAGTGCTGAGACCTTCTTATCTCTTGGGAAGGATCGCTCGGACAGCGATGTCCGACAGCGCGCCGGCCCTTGAGGGTGCCCGGGGCGCTCCATCCCCGAGGCCGCGGTGGGGGGACCTCCCTGCGGGCCTCAGCGGGCTGGCCACGCTTCGCACGGGGCCCCTGGGCCCGCCGCGGCGCCTGCTTGCCCAGGCAGGGCTGGCCGCCGGCGGATGACCGTGGCCGCTGCCGGGAGCAGAGAGCCGGGGCGATAGCGGCTGAGAAGCGCAAGGGCCCGCACCGGGGACTCCGCTGGCGTCCAGGGGCCGGGACTCCGCGCTCCCAGTGCCGGGGCCGGTCTCCATCCCCGACTGAGGAGCTAGCGCCTCATGCTGCAGCTGAGACCCCCCACCAGCCCCCCAGATCCCCTGACGGCGGTTGCGTGGTTTCATCCAGAAGTCGCTAAAACTTACAGTTCTAAACACGTTTCCATTTCTTCATGGAATGCACCTATTTGTAAACACTCTCTTCTCAAGCATATATAACATTTAAGCTCTCCTACGTAATTTCATCTTTTAAAGTTTGTTTTTGCTGTTTAGTGGCTTTTTTCAAACGCTTAGCAGTTTTAGCATATTCTTTATATGAAATCTATTTGTTATTTAAAATCTGCTAGTGTAACGGTCTTCAGGCCTATAAATATTAATAATGGGTGCTTTCCCTCACACAAAATGAACTATCCTGAAAACACTGACGATTAAGAAATAAAAAAAGGTCAACAGTTTCCTGTCCCAGAGGCTTTATTCACAGAGTAATGTCCAGAAATATTAATCTCTTTCATAAATCTTCTTATCATCTGGCATCGTTTTCTAATCGCAGTTGTTCTCTCTGCTGCGCTCCTCTTGCTTTTGAAAGGTTTGTGAACTTATTTGATTCTTCCGTTGTTGCTGTTGTTTTTCCCTAAATGCTGAAATGGGAGATGCTGGCATTTCATAATATGGGGTAATTTTGGAAAGATAGCTTGGTGGCTATAAACTTTTTTGTTCCACGCTCTCAGTTCATTTGTACCTAAGCCTCTATTTCTGTGGCATGTTCTTAATAGAACCATCCAGGCCTTTTGTTGCTCTAAATTTCTGCTTAACTGCTAAGCTTTCTCCTTGATTCTGACTGTGAGCATCAGATTACTGACTCCTCTCTGCCTCAGTCTTCTTGGTCTGTAAAGTGGGCTTAATGATAGTGCTGCCTCAGGAGATGTCATGAGATTCTTGTCCTCTGATGAAGCTGTTTGATTCATAATGTGATTTTGATGCTGCATTGTGAAAAAAATTCCCTCCCAAGACATATGGCTCTTAGGAGATAATCAGAAATTGGAAAACAGAGTATTTGATATTGAAGAATTATTGACAGAAATTTTTAGGCATAAGAAAATGAAATGGTGATTATGAATTTTCTATACATGGTTTCCTTTTAAAGACCCATATTGAGTTCTTTGCAAATGCACCTGTATTTCATTCGCGGTCATCTGCATCAGATGATAGGCTGCCTGTGGAGAGCCTGGACAGCAGGGCCCCGCATCCAGAAACAGCCACGAGGTCCTCGTCCCCCGCTTCTCAAGCAGGCAGAGCTGCCCCAGGCAAGCCAGAAGGTGCTCTGAGCACACTCACAGACGTCACACTCACCACCTCCCCCATCACCTGCCAAATCAGAATCGAGTTGGTTACTCCCAGTCTTTGATTTATGCAAATCTTTATTAGAACAACAAGTAGACCTAAGAACGGCAGCTAATTAACCCTCTGTCTTAGCACAGCGAGGAAGCTGAGGGTGCACATAGCTGCACTGTCGTTGGTAAGAGCTCTGGTCCTTCCAGATGGATTCAGTGGAGGAAGGCCCCTTCCCCGTGGCCTGTCCATAGTTTTCAAACGCCCCCCTTCCCCAGCATCACTGCCCTTGGTTTCAGATCTCTTACAGACGGTTTAATTTAAACAACAAATATGATCCTTATCCACCAGTTGTGTCAGATATCTTAACTTTGGTCATTATCAATTGCTTGTCTTTGACCTGGTTATAGTTACATAGTAAATT